TCACACACAGCCAGCACCAAGTTCTCCTGGCCCCAGTATGGCTTCATCATGTTCACGTGGTACACCCGCTGGCCACGTGTCCAGCCCGTCAACTCCACCACATAATTCACGTCACTCAGCTGCTAACAACCTTGAAGGGACCGTCCCAGGCGGCTTGCAGCTTGTTCTTCCGCACGGGGATTAGGACTATCACCTGGTCCCCGGCAGTGTAGGCACATTCTCTCTGGCCAGGCCGATGAGCTCGGCAAGTCTTTCCCGGAACGTCAGGACATATTCCACGACCGGCTCCCCCTCCGGGGGGGGGCCTTCCCCTCCCTCTCATCTCTCAGTAAGTCCAGGGGGCCCCTCACTCACCTCTCATATAACAGCTCAAACGGTGAGAACCCTGTCGACTCCTGGGGTATCTCCCTGTACACAAAAAGCAGGTGATGTAGGTACCTGTTCCAGTCCTGCAGGTGTTTGTGCATAAAGGTCCTTAGCATCTGCTTCAGAGTCCCATTGAACTTGTCCACCAACCTGTTGGTCTGGGGGTGATATGCTGAGGCCCAGGTGTGCTGGACCCCACATTTCTCCCACAAGCATCGGAGCAGGGCCGACATGAAGTTGGATCCCTGGCCCATGAGAATCTCCTGGGGGAACCCCACCCTGCTGAAAATGGTCAGCAGTGCGTCTGCTACCGTGTCTGCCTCAATAGAGGGTAGGGCCATGGCCTTCCTGCTGAAAATGGTCAGCAGTGCGTCTGCTACCGTGTCTGCCTCAATAGAGGGTAGGGCCATGGCCTTGGGATAGCGGGTGGCAAAGTCCACCACCACCAGAATGTATTTCTTCCCCGTCCAGGTCGCTCTGTTGAAAGGCCCCACAATATCTATCGCCATCTTCTGGAAAGGCTCCTCTATGATGGGCAGAGGTCTCAACACAGCTTTCTTCCTATCTTGGGCCTTCCCCACCCGTTAGCAGGAGTCGCAGGACCAGCAATACCGCTGCATGGCCACAAATATCCCCGGCCAGTAGAAGTTTTGGAGCAGCCTCAGCCGCGTGCGCCGGATCCCCTGGTGTCCCGAGAAGGGGATGTCATGGGCCAGGTAAAGCAGGTTGTGGCAATACCTTTGGGGGAGCACCAGCTACCGCTGGAACCCCCACTCCCCTACCATCCCGGGGGGAAGCCATTCCCAGTACAGAAATCCCCTCTCCCACCAAAACTTCTCCTGGCAATCTCCCCCTAGGGGCTGAGCTGTGCCCAGGTTGGCCCGGTCCCTCAGGGCCTGCAAGGAGGGATCCGCCCACACCTCTGCCTGGAATTCAGCGGCTGGGGCTGGGACAGGGGCATGTTTCCCCCCACTGCCTAGGTCCGGCTCCGTCTGCTGTGACAGGGCCCCGGGCCCCCTGTTGGGGAATCTCCTCGAGTTCTAGGCTGCCAGCCCCTCGCAGGCTCTGGCTACGGGTGGTGACTAGGGTCCTGTGGGGTCCGTCTGGCCACTCCTCGGTCACCCCCCATCAGCACCTCTATGCTGTGTGGGTGTGGGTGCACCCCCATTTCCTTGGGGCCCTCCCTGGACTCCCATTTCAGATGCACCCTGGCTACGGGTACCTTAAATGGGGTCCCGTCTATGGCCCTCAGCGTCAGCTGTGTGTTGGGTAGCATATGGTCTGGGGCCACTATGTCAGGTCGGGCCAGTGTCACCTCTGCCCCCGTGTCCCAGAAACCTGTCACCTTCCTACCATCCACCTCCAGGGATATGAGACACTCGCTCCTCAGGGGCCGTCCTGCCCCCACCCGGTATACGGAGAAATCCGCCTCCCGAGGGTCAGACCTCCCAGGGGAGGTGCACAGAGCATCCTCCCCCTCTCTCTGAGCTGAGGTTTGCCTGCCAGCCCCTGCCTCTGGGGCAGCCTGCCCTTCCTCCCGCCCCAGCCTGGAACGTCCCCGGTCATGGGACCTGTTCTTGTGCCTGGTGCACTGAGCTCTCTTGTGGCCTCGTTGCCCACAGCGATGTGGAAAGTCCCAGGTCATGGGACCTGTTCTTGCGCCTGGTGCATTGAGCCCTCTTGTGGCCTCGTTGCCCACAGCGATGGCAAGTTAGGTTCTGCGGGCCCTTCTGGGTCAGCTCTGCCCGGGCCCTGGCTGGTTTTCTGGGGCACCGATGACTGGTCCTGGTCCCTGGGGCTCGCCTCGGAGGTGCCTCTCTCTGTCGCTCAGCCGAGAACCAGTCTCTGCCCAATTCCCTTTCTCTCCGGGACTCCCGTTCACATCCAGACCGGCTCTCTGTGAACTCGTCCGCCAGCCTCCCCGCTTCCTAGGGGTTCTCCAGACTTCGGTCTTTGAGCCACAGCCTCAGGCTGGGTGTGCATGCTTCATAGAACTGCTCCATCATGATCAGCTTGAGCAGTTCCTCTGCAGTCTGGGCTCTGATTCCAGATACCCACTTGCGGCAGTATTGCGCCAGGCGGGAGGCTATATCCACAAAAGTCTCCTGTGGCCCCTTCTGCACCCCCTGGAACTTTTTCTTGTACATCTCAGGGGTCAGCCCGAACTTGTGCAGCAGGGCCTCCTGGACTCGATTGTAATCCCGTGGCTGTAGGCCCTCCAGCTGATTGAGCACTCCGGCAGCCTCCTGGTTCAGGGTGAGGATGAGCTCCTGTCAGCTGGGGGGACCTGTTGCAGTCCACAGGCCCTCTCAAAGGAGCTGAGGAACCCATCTATGATGCCCATGTCCTTCAGTTGGGCCACCACGAGCTTCTCCAAGTGTCTGGCAGCCCCGGGACCCCTTCCCATTCAGTGCAGCCAGGGCCCTACCGCTTCTCTGCTCTGCCATGGCCAACTGAAGCTGTCGCTGCCTCTCTCGGTCCTGGCGGTCCCTCTCTTGATGTTGGCGCTCCTTCTCTCGGTCCTCTACTTCCAATCCCTTCATCCGCAGCTGGATCTCCAGCCGCCACAGCTCTGCTGGGTTGGACCCTCCCCTGGGCGGACTATGGTTTGCAGGGTTCCCCTGGGAGGCTGTCCCGCCTCTCTGGTGGGATCCAGAGCTCCGCCCCCCTCGGAGCCTGACACGCTCCCAGGGGAGGTCTGGCTGTTCCCCACTGGGACAGGATCCCAGCCCTGTGACTGGTCATTCTCTTCCAGCCAGGCAATCAGCTGGGCCTTGGCTGGGTTCTGCACAGGCAAGCCCCTCTCTCTGCACAACTTCACCAGCTTTGCCTTCAGGAGTTGGGTGTAGGCCATCTCCTTGCTGGTCCCCTTGGTGCAGACTCACCAGTCTAGTGCTGCAGCACCCCACGATTCTCAGGAACTGCTTCGCTCTGTCTCCAGCACGCCTGGCTCTAAGCCCCTTCCTTCTACTGTGTCTTGACACTCGCTGCTGGAAGCTACATCCACAGGGCGCAGTGCATCCCACTACTGACACCACTGTGGCTGCGCATTGGGGTTCCCCTGTCACCTGCACCCCTATAGTGGCACAAACAGACTCTGCCAGCCAGTAGAATAGAGGGAATTTATTGCTTCTCCAGGATACAGCACAGCATAGATGTAATCTGGTTACAGGGGAGGCCTAGGATGCCTCAGCTCCCCTTGAGATAGGGGAGACTAGGCCATGGTGCTTAGGCTGCTTCCTTCATGATACCAGACAGAACTTAAAAAAAACATCCCTTCCAGCCCTGCCCCCCAGCCAGGGGCTGGCCTCCCCTCCTTCCTTTGTTTCTCTCCCTGGGAGGCAACTGGTCCGACAGGTTGGGAGCCCCTTGCATAATGACTCATCCCCTATCCTGCTAGGCTGTGCTACAAACAGCCGTCAGCGGAGGTCATCCACAGCCCACCACCCAGCATAGCAACCAGCAAGGTACCAACATTACATCATAGGGGCACTCCAGCCCAAGTGGGCTGGAGCACCCCTCCACTCCAGGCAAGCTGGGGTGGTACCGCCTGCGACAGGCAGAGGCTGCTCCAGCCTGGCTGGCCCAGCCCCTGCATGCGCCCTTTCCTCCCCCCAGCTCGCCACAAACAGGGACTGGTCCAGACACCTGAGGTAGCTGCCCCCATCTGGTTAACCAGAACTGGTAAACATCACCTGATGCTTACCAGTTAACCTTTTACATGCCTAGTTTTTAAAAAACAAAAGTAGAGAGGTCTTATTCTCCTCTCATTTGAATCAGTTTTACTTCAGATTAAATGCATTACCCTCAATGGAGTCACCCCTAGTTACTTCAGGCCAACTGCATGGACTTCAGTGGAGTCACTCCTGATCTGCACTGCAGTAAATGCATGAAGAAACAGACCCCAGGCTTAATAGCCAGGGTAAATAATTCCATCTCTTCTTAAGCTGGATGCTCTATTACAAACTCAGATCTATTTAAGCCAATCTGAAATTATCCACATAATGTGACTGCCATGCTGTTGAGTCAGCTTGTTTCCCCCAGTCAGTGTCTGGACCAGCTGTTTGTCCCACACAGGCACAAACAGGGATCCTTGTAGCCTCCCACATAGTAGCTCTACCAAGTAAGCCTGTCTCAGCTGGAAGTTGCTTTTTACACTTCTTCTTTGCAGCAGAAAATGCCTTCATGTCTTACTCCTGTAATAATAACCTTTTACTCTCAACTCTTTGATCTCCCACAGTGTCCCATTCTGCTTCCATTTCAAATAAACAGTTGTGATAAATGACAAATACCATGGCAATCCTGCATGTAGTTTTCAAAAAACAAAGTTCTCATGATAATTAATAATAATACAAAATAATACTTAACGCTTCTGTAGCACCTTTCAACTGAGTATCTGAAAACACCAAATATTAACCCACTCTCATACTAACATTGCAAGGCAAATCTGTTTTACCTATGGAGAAAATGAGGCACAATATTTATTTGGCCAGTAGTCATAAGAGCAAGTGACTGTCATAGCCTGCATTCAAACACAGTTATGCCAACCCTCAGTCCTGTGCTCTAACGACTAGGAAATCTACCTGTGAGGGATATGCGGCAGCCCTGTGTCTACATAACTGTCTCCATTGTACCTGAGTATGACAGGCCCACAATAGGAGGGATGTATTTTGGTGCACATGTCCTCCAGCTGCAGCCGCTCTCCTGGTCTGATGTCATAGCTGTGCTTTGGGTAGTTAACCAGCCAGCCATAGTCCACACCTGTCTTTATTTTGCGATACTCATTCTCTCTCTCTCGTTGCTGTTTGTCTGCCTGCTTGATCTGCCAGCCTAGTTCCATCATTAGCGTTTCCACCACCATCTCTGAGGGATTCCTTCGGGAAATCTGGTTCTGGGGCTCATTCCATCTGAACCAGGAAGCCAGCGCCATGTTTCCCCAATCTTTCTACCTGTAAAGAAAAATACATTATTGTTATTGCTTTCTCTGCACACGCTGCACCTCTCCACTTTGGATTTTCCAGAACTCAGCACCCAGCAGCTCCTCACCCAGACCTGTAAGAGCTGCTGGGTGGTACTGAGCACTTTTGAAAATGTCACCAATAGGGGCCAGACTGTGCTTGGCCTATAAAGGTTTGCAGGAGAAGGAAAGTGCAAGGAGACATATGGCCCCCTCCACTATGCCCATTAGAAGGCCAGCCAGTCACACTCATGTCTACACTAGGGTGTTTTTTTTTTTTTTTGCAGAAGAGGCAATACAAATGAAACATTCATTAGCATTTTCTCATGCTTCATTTGCATAATCTCTGCCGATGCTTTTTGCTCGAGGTTTTTGTGCAAAAACTATCAGTGTAGGTGGATCTGTTTTGTGCAAAAAAACCCCTTTTGTGCAAGATCCTTATGCCTCATAAAGGAGGTATACAGATCTCGTGCATAAGGATTTTTTTGCACAAAATGGATCCATCTACACTGATAGTTTTTGCACAAAAACCTCGAGCAAAAAGCATCGGCAGAGATTATGCAAATGAAGCAAGAGAAAATGCTAATGAGTGCTTCATTCGCATTGCCTCTTCCACAAAAAAAAAAAAAACCCTACTATAGACAGTATCTGATCTTAGAAGTGCACACACAGTACCTTCTCATCTCAGGGGTGATGCATGAAGGAGGGCACAAGTATGCATGTGCCCCCACCAAACACCTGGGCTGTCCCGGCTCTTTCCTGAGCTGGGGAGATCACATGGTCCCACTGTCCCATCTCACCCCTGCCTGCTCTATTCATTTAACATTGGAAAGATTATTGCACAAAAGGGAGCAGAGGCAGAACCAAAGCCTGAGCTTCCACTGCCAAACTCCTGCATATTTGAGAGCTGAGAAAGGGACTGTGCCCTACCGAACAATCCTTCCCTAACTCCCTATGGGATAGAATGGCTCCACACCACACCCAATCCACAGGTGGACCTTGAAAGTTCCTGCAGGTATCTTCCAGTAGAAATGGAGCTCTCAGGAAATGTTACAGAGTGGTGCACAGCGTCACTGGTGACAATGGAAAAAGATGTCAATTGCAATGATAGCTGACATCTGGCCAACCGAGGACCTGAGGATAGGAAAGTGCTTTGCAAAAGTGGGTACATAATATGATCATTTCCATTTCCCAGATGGAGAAACTGGGGCACAGAAAGGCAAAATGTCCAAGGTCATAGAGTAAGTCGGTGGCAATGCTGGGACTCTCCTGTAGTCTCTCGCTCATGTTTTTAACACCATAATCATTATTATGAGTCCTTCCTACCAGTCATACCTTCCTGTTCTAGCAAAAGTCTCCACCTCAAGGGAAATTTGCACCAAAAGGAGGACAAGTTGAGTTAGCAATACCTTTCCTTAGAATTTCAGCTCACAGAGGTTGCTCCAATTTGCAGCCAGGGTCCCGAGTCCTGCAAGCAGATTAATACAGCGTGCTGAACCAGCATATCCTGCACTCATTCTGGCCACACCCCCTTCTCAGCGCATTGTGGCCCTTAGTAGAGGTGCAGATTCAGCTACTTCCTGCTAATGAACACAGCACATTATTGTATCTGATGACATATCTTAGTGTCCTGTCCATGATGAATTCCTCCTAGTCAATGGCAATGCAGTATGAGCCAATGACTGGCGAACAGCTGGCACCCAGGACTCTTGTCAGAGTTTTCTTGGCTTGGATACTGAGTTGCAGCCTGGTCTTCGGCAACTCACTTAAACTTTGTGTGCATAGGAGTTTTGTGGGACCTGATAAAAATGGGGGGGGGGAGTGTAATAGACTCCACTGCTTCTGTCAAATGAGTTCATAGAGGTACCAGAGGCTCCCTGCACCTCTCCACTCCCCACACAAAAGCTCTTCATGTGCTACCCTCCCATTCTCCTCTATTTTAGGGATCCCTTGTACTCTACCACCACCTCCTTTATGCCAAAGGTTCAGACATATTGGCATCAATGGGAGCTTGCTTGAGCAAGGACTACAGCATGATTTATCCAATTTTGTAGCACACATTCCATAGGCTTTCAATAGGGCTTGTAGACCCCAATGTTCTTTTGAAAAATTTCACACCCCAATAGGAGGGATGTAGAGCAGGGAGATCACTTGTAATTTACATTGCTTTTTTTCTAACAAAGGGAAAATCCAGTCCAAGCATCTCATGTACAGCTATAGCCAATGCTGGTTGTCTCTAGGTGATTCCTTATTGCATGAAGCTGTTTTTCTATAATCTTTCTCTCTACAGTGGGAAAATAGCCATAGGCACTTGATGGAAATGAAAGCCACCCAGACCCTTTGCAACATGTGGAAGGAACACTGTGCTCCATTAATTGCAGATGCTGTTTTCAATTTAAAGCTCACACTGGGACTAATCAGTAAGTAACATGAAATATCTTTTCTATCAGGAAGGACACAAAGGAATTGGACTTGCAGTCAGATTGTAGGATGTGGGCAACCAAGAGAGCTCAGTGTGGCTCCCTTCTGGGGAAAAGGATTAACAGACACCTCAGCCATCTGTGTTAAATAGAAATAGTTCTGCATCTGGTTACAAATCCTTGTATTGGACAATAAGTCATATTTGCTGGTATTCAGAGTAGTCCATTCATGTTTCAGAGACCTGGCTTTGACCATGGTCATTTTATAAATTGGTAAAATATTAATAAATTAAAAATATTAAACCATTTATAAAAATCTCCACTCCAGTACTGTCGAGTTTCAGGAATTTTGCTTACTCAACTCTTTATTTCCCTTTGAAATATCACCTCCTCCTCAGAGTTGACCATATTTGACTCATAGACTTCAAGGTCAGAAGGGACCATTATGATCATCTAGTCTGACCCCCTGCACAGTGCAGGCCACAGAATCTCACCCACCCCTCCTAAAATAATCCCCTCACCTATATCTCAGATATTGAAGCCTTCAAATACTTTGAAGACCCCAAGATGCAGAGAATCCTCCAGCTGTGATCTGTACCCCATGCTACAGAGGAAGGCAAAAAACTTCCAGGGCCTCTGCCAATCTACCCTGGAGGAAAATTCCTTCCTGACCCCAAATATGGCGATCAGCTAAACCCTGAGCATGTGGGCAAGACTCACCAGCCAGACACCCAGAAAGTTCCCTATAGCAACTCCTATCATCCCTCCATTGACCTATTTCCAACTGATAATGAATGGTCAATTAGTTACCAAGATCATGTTATTTCATCCAACCATCCCCTTATCATAGAATCAGAACTGGAAGAGACCTCAGAAGGTCGTCAAGTCCAGCCCTCCGCTCTAGGCAGGACCAATCCCATCTAAATCAACCCGGCCAGGGCTTTGTCAAGCCGAGACTTAAACACCTCTAGGGATGGAGACTCCACTACTTCCCTAGGTAACCCATTCCAATGCTTCACTACCCTCCTAGTAAAATAGTTTTTCCTAATATCCAATCTGGCCCTCTCCCACCACAACTTGAGACCATTGCTCCTTGTTCTGCCATCTGTCACTACTGAGAACAGCCTCTCTCCATCCTCTTTGGAACCTCCCTTCAGGAAGTTGAAGGCTGCTATCAAGTCCCCCCTCACTCTTCGCTTCTGCAGACTAAACAGACCCAAGTCCCTCAGCCTCTCCTCGTAGGTCATATGCTCCAGACCCCTAATCATTTTGGTTGCCCTCCGCTGGACCCTCTCCAATGCGTCCGCATCCTTTTTGTAGTGGGGGGCCCAGAACTGGACACAGTACTCCAGATGTGGCCTCACCAAAGCCGAATAAAGGGGAATAATGACATCTCTGGATCTGCTGGCAATGCTCCTCTTAATGCATCCTAATATGCCATTAGCCTTCTTGGCTACAAGGGCACACTGTTGACTCATATCTAGCTTCTCATCCACTGTAACCCCCAGGTCCTTTTCTGCAGAACTACTACTTAACTGGTTGGTCCCCAGCCTGTAACTATGCTTGGGATTCTTCCGTCCCAAGTGCAGGACTCTACACTTGTCTTTGTTGAATCTCATGAGATTTCTAGTGGCCCAATCCTCCAATTTGTCTAAGTCACTCTGGACCCTATCTCTGCCCTTAAGCGTATCTACCTCTCCCCCTAGCTTAGTGTCATCTGCAAACTTGCTGAGGGTGCAATCTATCCCCTCATCCAGGTCATTAATAAAGATATTGAACAAAACCGGTCCTAGAACCGAACCTTGGGGCACTCCACTAGAAACCGACCTCCATCCTGACATCGAACCGTTGATCACTACCCGCTGGGCCCGGCCTTCTAGCCATCTTTCTATCCATCTTACCGTCCATTTATCCAATCCGCATTCCCTTAACTTGCTGGCAAGAATATTGTGGGAGACCGTATCAAAAGCCTTGCTAAAGTCAAGGTATATAACATCCACTGACTTTCCCATGTCCACTGAGCCAGTTACCTCATCATAGAAGCTAATCAGATTGGTCAAGCACGACTTGCCCTTTGTGAATCCATGCTGACTATTCCTGATCACTTTCCTCTCATTCAAGTGTCTCAAAATGGACTCCTTTATGATCCCTTCCATGATTTTTCCAGGAACCGAGGTAAGACTGACCGGCCTATAGTTCCCTGGATCGTCCTTCTTCCCTTTTTTGAAGATGGGCACTACATTTGCCTTTTTCCAATCATCCGGGATTTCGCCCGATCTCCACGACTTTTCAAAGATAATGGCCAAAGGCTCCTCAATGACATTTGCCAACTCCTTCAGTACCCTTGGGTGCATTAAGTCTGGACCCATGGATTTGTGTACGTTTAGTTTTTCTAAATAGTTCCTAACCTGTTCTTTACCCACCAAGGGCTGTCCATCTTCTTCCCATCTTGCGTCGCTTAGCACAGAAGTCCAGGAGCCGACCTTGTCCGTGAATACAGAGGCAAAGAAAGCATTGAGTACTTCAGCTTTCCCCACATCCTCTGTCACTAGGTTACCTCCTTCATCCATTAGGGACTGCACACCCTCTCTGATCACCTTCTTCTTGTTGACATGCCTGTAGAAACCTTTCTTGTTATCCTTCACATCCTTAGCCAGTCGCAACTCCATTTGCGCTTTCGCCTTCCTGATAACCCCCCGGCATTCTCGAACTATACATTTAAGCTCCTCCCTAGTCATTTGTCCAAGTTTCCACTTTCTGTAAGCTTCCTTTTTGTGCTTAAGTACACCAAGGATTTCCCCTGTAAGCCAATCCGGTCTCCTACCAGGTTTGCCTCTCTTGCTACGTGTCGGGATGGTTTCTTTCTGTGCCTTCAATAAGGCTTCTTTAAAATACTGCCAGCTGTCCTGGACTCCTTTCCCCTTCATGTTAACATCCCAGGGGATTCTTTCCATCAGATCTCTGAGGGAGTCAAAATCTGCTTTTTTGAAGTCCAAGGTGTGTATTTTACTACTCTCTTTCCTTCCTTTGGTCAGGATCCTGAAATCTACCATCTCATGATCACTGCTTCCCAGGTTGTCACCCACCTCTACGTCCCCTATTAGTTCCTCCCTGTTTGTGAGGAGAAGGTCAAGCTGTGCACGGCCCCTGGTCGGATCCTTCAGCACTTGTACCAAGAAGTTATCCCCAACATGGATAATTATGACTGCAGGCTGCTCATATATGCTGACAGATCCTGATCCCCTTCAGGCTCCTGCAGATCAGTTAGGCTCAGCTACTGGGAGTCTCCGTCTGACAGACTTGCTAAGTTTTGTTAGAAGTGGTCTGCTCTGCAGTGAATCACAGGAGATACATCAGATGAAGAACATGCTTCCATGGCAGAAAGAGAAGTTCAACAAGCAAAGTATCTCCCTTTCTCATTAACCCACTGACTCTCCCAGCATATAATATCAACAAAAGGGGGCACGGGTCAGCGTTCACCTGGCTCTTCCTGTTAGTACTTGGCTCAATCCAGAGAAGCTAATGGTCCAATTAGAGGATTTCATTAGGTCAGGGGTGGCCAACCCATTACAGACAAAGATCCAAAACAGTGGTGGACAGAGTGCGAAGAGCCACATACTGGAGGGACAGAGGCACATACTGGAGGGAAAATAGGTGCCGGTACACCGTCCTCGGGCATACCATCACAAAAAAAGCACTGGGAAGGGGTGAGAGGTGCAAGCTCTGGGAGGGAATTTGGGTGCAGGAGAAAGTAGAGAAGAGGATGCTGGCTCAGGGAGGGGGCTCCAGGCTGGAGAGTGCTGGGGTCAGGTGGAGGGTTGGGGTGCCGAGCAAGCCGCAGGCTTGTGGCTGTGAGGGTGCAGGAGTTTGGGCTGGGATGCTTGAGGGGCTCAGGCAGGGAGGCTGGGAGTATGATGGGCTCAGGACACAGATTTGCAGTGTGTGGATGGTGCAGGAGTTTTGTGGCAGAAGCCTGGAGATGTGGGGGGGCAGGAGTTTGGGGATGTGAGAGGCTCAGGACAGGGGATTCCAGTGTATGATAGGCTCAGGTTTGGGATCTAGGGGGTAGTGTTATGATGCTGCAGCCAAATGGGGGCCTGGCCCCAATTGGGGGCTTGTTGGCCAGGCTTCATTTTTAGATAAAATATTATGTCAAACACAAAATGTTTATGAGGGGGGTGGGGAACCACCTTTACCACAGAGATCTTACTCTCCATCACTATCCCCTCGCCCTTCGGATTACTCTTGTAGAGCAGGATATAGCAGACGCACCGGTATGATCACTCCCCATCCCGCTCTTCATACTACTACCGCGACCGTTGTGAGATGCAAAAAAACAACCACTCCAAACCCCCCCAAGCCTCACTAATGTGGCCCTAACTGTGCTGGTCAGGGTAGGGGGGAAGGGTGCTGGAGCAGGGTGCTGGTGGGTGCTGGGGCAGGGTACTCGTGGGGGGTTCTGGCCAGGGGGAGGAGACAGAAAGCTAGGGCCAGTACCTGGGGATCCTAGGTCTCAGGAAGCGTGCTGGCTGCTCTTCCCCTCCCCTTCTCCAGAGCCAGGCACACACACCCCTAACCCAATCCCCCTTCCCAGAACCAGGCACCAGCCCCCCTCATACCAATCCCCCTCCCTCCCCCGCTCTAACCTAATTCTCAGGTCTTGGAGGCAGAGCTGCTGCCATTACAGCCATGCACATCTCCCTCCAGGCGCTGGGGTGTGCGTGCTGAGTGGCTGGCCTTGAGACATGCTGGCTGGGATGCCGTGTGCACCCCCTCCCCTAGAGCCAGGCACCCCACCCCTCCACCCCCAATTCTCAGGCCCTGGAGTAACCACAGCCGCATGTCTCCCTCCAGGCACTGGGGCACATTTGCTGGGCGGCCAGCGTGCTGAGTGGCTGGCATGCCATGCACACCCCACCCCAACCCAATTCCCCTCCTCTCCCCAGAGCCAGACACCACCCTGCTCTAACCCAATCCCTCTACCCACTAATCTTATACCCAAGTCCCGGAGCCGCCGCTAACACTGCCACCGCCACACCCAGAGCCCTCGCCGCTGCCGCTGCCTGCGTTCAGCAGCTTGCTGCTAGCATGTGGAGGCTGGGACACTATATGTGACCCGGCCTGCATGTGCAGGATATGATGCAGTGTGCTGAGGGCCATAAGCGGAATGGCATGGGCCATGAGCAGGCAAGCGGCTCACAGCGGCCCAGCCGTGAGAGCAGCTGACCTGAGTGGTTCCAGGTTCCGTCCCAGTTCTCTCAGGAGTCGCAGGTTGGCCACCCCTGCATTGGGTGATAAATCCTGGTCACCTGCCCTCTGAGGCACGTTGCACATATGCTAAGAGGAAGACACCAAAAACAAAATGGAGGGAAGAGGCTGAGACTGGTAGACAAATATGGTTGAAAGGCTGGTCCTGGATCTTAGAGGCCTATCAGTACAGCCATGCTACCAGCAAAGTCTATTGGTCTGCTGGAGCCTTGGGGGAATGTAAAGGAGAGGGTGCGGGGAGGAAGAACTCTACTGGTAAGAGTTTGGATGACTGCCTCTGAAGCTAATTCAAAACCCAGAGGAAAGACTCCCACTGACTATTTGGCTACAGATCTGGTCCTATATGATCAACCTGTTAGCCCAGAAAAATGCAGCCCCGGCTTACTAATGGTATGGGAAGCCACGATGCTCCCTGCTGCCCACCTTGGCTCTCTAGTTCACCAGCTTCAAGAATGTTGGGAGAGGCGAGGAACTGAGGAATGGAGCTGGTCAGTCAGAAAGTAGACAACTGGGTGATGGCACACCTTTGGGCTTAGAGTATGCGAAAAAAAATGTTAAATAGTGGAGATACATTTTACAAATGTGACCAGCCTAGCATCAGAGATATAATTATTATCTGTGAGCAAATGTGTGGAGGGAGTTTGGAGGGATTATGGGTCGCAGGGAGGCAATAAAGTGAAACTGGGAGAGGGAAAGTTAATAACTACCTTATCCAAATACCCATCATTAATCCAGTCGTCCGCTGAACAGTGTTAAATCTGGAGACTATATTCAATCACTGACATCTGAAATGAGTGTTTTAATTCTGCTTTAAGTGAAAAGCTCAGCTAACTATGAAGTTGCTACTGACGCCTCTGTAATTTTAATTATATAACACACCATATCATTGCAATAAAAATATCTGCTTTCTTCCTGACATAGTTTTCAGTAGAATGAAGTACATCAGTAGTTCACCACCTTTTTCATATGTTGACCTTTTTCCATACCACAACCCCCAGGATCTCTGCCATCTTCCCATTTAGGCAGGATTTTGCTAAGTCCGTCTCATCTTTATACTTAGCAATATGGGAAGGGCTGAGTGATTGTGATATTCTGATATCTATTGCAACGTCATTGGAGGTAATGACCCCACTTTGAGAACTCCAATCTATGTAATAAACAATAAAAATGGAAGGAAAGTCGGGTACTCAAGAGGCAAGAGTGGACGTCAGGAAACCTGGGTTATATTCCTGCTTGTGCCACAGATTTCCTGTGTGTGACTTTGGACTACCTGCTTAACCTCTCTTTTTCCTCCTTGGTAAAATGGGCATAATCACATATCTATCCCACAAGGATGTTGTGAAGCTTAATTCATTAGTGCCATGAAGCACACTAACCTTCTTATGTACAAAGTTAATAGCAATACAAATGTAACAATTTATGCAACATCTTTCTGGTTTCTGACAAGTGGAATTAAAAGACAATTCTTGCACAGTTCAGTTAGTCTATTTTGTACCACAGTGGATAAAATACTCTTTGTTTTGCTTTGCAAGCTGGATTACCTAAGGCTATGTCTACACTGATGCATTCTCACGCAAAAACTCTTTTGCGGAAGACTCTGCAAAAACTCTTCCAGAAGAGAGCGTCTACACTGGCATGTGCTTTTGCGTAAGAGATGTGCTTTTGTGCAAGAGCATCCATGCCAGTGCAGATGCTCTCTTGCGCAAGAAAGCTCTGATGGCCATTTTAACCATAGGGCTTTCTTGTGCAAGAAATTCATGTTGCCTGTCTACACTGGCCTCTTCTGGAAGAGCTCTTGTGCAAGAGGGCTTATTCCTGAGCAGGAGCATCAGAGTTCTCATGCAAGAACCCTGATTTTATACATTAGAACGTCAGTTTACTTGAGCAAGAACACACGGCCAGTGTAGACAGGCAGCAAGTTTTTGTGCAAGAGTGGCCGCTTTTGCGCAAGATCGTGCCAGTGCAGACACAGCCTAAATGTTTTGGAGGACACAAGATACAGGATACAAAAAGAATTGTCACTGTAAATAACGGGTGTCAAAGGACATGGCCTTGTTTTAATTTCCAGGGAGGTTTGGATAACTGAGGTGCTTGTAAGTGTTTAACACTGTAAGGCTATGTCTACACTAAGGATATCACACAGTTGTAGTGCTGGAGCTGTGCCTCTGTAGGTCTGTACTGCATATGTTTCCTTCATTGGTGAAAGGGTGTTTTTTCCATCAAGAATTCTTCCTTTGACCTAGCAGTATCTATACTGGGATTAAGCAGTATCTATACTTGCATTAGAAACTGGTAATGCAACCTGGTAGCAGACCTATGTAACTTCGTTCTCACCCACAATTATTTCCAGTTTGAGAACAACTTATACCTCCAGATCAGCGGCACAGCCATAGGTACACGCATGGCCCCACAGTATGCTAAGATCTTTATGGCTGACCTAGAACAATGTTTCCTCAACTCCCGTCCCCTTTTGCCCCTTCTCTACTTACGCTACATCGATGACATCTTTATGATCTGGACGCATGGCCAAGAAACACTGGAGACATTCCACAGAGATTTCAACAACCTACACCCCACCATTAACCTCAGCCTGGACCATTCCACACGAGAGATCCATTTCCTGGACACCACAGTACAAATCAACAATGGAAAATTAGACACCACCCTCTACAGAAAACCCACTGACTCATACAGTTACCTACATGCTTCCAGCTCCCATCCAGCACACACCATACGATCCATCATCTATAGCCAAGCCCTTCGATACAACCACATCTGCTCTAATCCCACAGACAGAGACCAGAAACTTCAGGATCAATACCAAGCATTTATAAACCTCAACTACCCACCCGGAGAAATAAAAAAGCAAATTGAAAGAGCCAAACGAAACCATCTACTACAAGACAGATCCAAGAAAACCAACAATAGAACACCACTTGTCATCACCTACAGCTCCCAACTTAAACCTGTCCAACACATTATCAATAGATTACAACCTATACTGGAACAGGACACTAAACTCCAAGAAGCTCTGGGAGACAGACCCATAGTCTCCTATAGACAACCACCTAACCTCAAGATGATTCTTACCAACAACCACAGGACATACCACACTAATACCAATCCTGGTACTTTCCCTTGCAACAAACCCCGCTGCCAGCTTTGTCCACATATTCACTCTGCTGACACCATTATTGGGCCTAACCAAGTGAGTTATAAGATCAAGAATACATATTCCTGCGCCTCCAGAAATATAAT